CATTTCAGGCTGGGTTCACCCGCCGGCAGCACCGCCAGCCCAGGTCACCCCTCCCCTCCCCTGCAGCCCCACCATGCTGGACACCATCAGCAGTCAGTACGACTCCTTCATCTACTGGAGGATGCCCATCCCGCGGCTGGAGCTGGCGGAGCTGGAGGGGCTGGGCCTGGGGTCCCTCTATGCCCCCCATGGCAAAGTGCCCGAGGTGGCCCAGGAGCCCGGCCGTGCGGAGGAGGACAGCCTGCTGCCCTTCAGCAGCTTCAACTTCTGGAGGGCGCCCATCGCCAGCCTCAGCTCCTTCGAATTCGACCTCATCTGATGCCCTCCTCCCTGCTCCCCGTTGCCAGGCGTGCCAGGGTTCGGTTTTGTTGGTTCTGTGCGGTGTCGGGTGTTTGGTTTTGCTTTATTTTAAACCCCTGGGCGCTGCTAAGGAAGCCTGTGCTCAGCCCAGCCCTGCGGCACCGCCTCACCTCCTCCATCCCTCCTGGGAACGCGGCGGGGCGAGCGGAGCCAGGCTGTCCTTGGGATGGAACCCGTCTGCTTCGCTCCTCAGTGCTGTGTTGAAATCAGAGAAAGGAACCAAAGCTCCACTCGCTTCGGATTTTTATGTGCTTTGGTTGTGGTGTTTTATTTTTTTTCCCCCCAAGATTGTTTTCTGGGAGAGCAAACAGCAGCTGTCATTGTGGGTGCGTTTGGGGTTGGATGCAGTGCCATGGGAAGCCGTAGGAAAGCCATGATGCAAAACATCCCAAAAGTGACCTAAAAAAAGAGGGGCAGGCAGCTGGTAGCAGTCAGAGCGCTGGCAAGGCACCAGAGCTGGGCATAACTCCCCAGTGAGAGCCACACCTCTGACAATGATGCACTGCTGGCAGAGGTGGAAAATCCCAACTCCAAAACACGGGCTGGAAAAGTGGGTGCCAATCTGAGCCTGTAACCCACGTGGGGCTGCCCAGCCATCCGTGAGGAGCATCACCTCCACTGCTGGCAGCAGGCACAGCCCGTGCATCTGCAGACAGCTGCCACTGGAGGACCAGCATCCTGTCAACACAGCTGTGTCCCATTCCTGCCTGAAAGAGAGAAAAACGGGTTCAAAGTAGAGCCGCCGCCCCATTTTCCTCCACAACCCGATGCCTTTCGCCCCCCACCCGCTGTGTTCACCCGCCCCCTGCCCCCACAGAACTGTGTCAGGTTTGTCCTGGTTTCTGCCACGGCCCCACAGTGCACACAGCCGCTGTGCCGGCAGTCTGGCACTGCTGCTTCCCTGTACCGCCTTCTGCACCTGCCAATAAAGGCTGAATGTCCTCCTATGAGTGCTGAATGTCCTCCTATGAGTGCTGCTCCTTTCCCATCCTCAGTGCCAGGATCCCAGGGCTGGGTGCTGCGCTGCTCAGCTCCATATAGCGCCTTCTTTAATAGGAATGAAGAAGGCTGCCATCTCCGGCCCCACGCCGCTCTCTGGGGCTCAGGATACGATCTGTAACCCGGTGGGTCACCCAGCTCCCGCAGCCTTTGGGTTCTGCTCTACGGGTTCCTTTCCATCAATGCATTCCACCCCATAACACCTCCCCCCCCAAGATCACCTCCAGGGCTCAGACACCGCACCCACTTCAACTGTAAATCATCACTGCGGGTTAAAAATGAATAAACAGCGCCTCACTTTGCCTGGAGGTGCAGAGAACTGACAGGACAAAGCAGAGGAGGGAAGGAGGGATGGGAACAGAGAACACAGGGCACAGAGATCAGAAACGCACTGAAGCAGTGCTGGAGCCAGCAGTAAAACATACGAGTTTAAAACAAAACAAAACAAAACCACAAAAACCACTACAGGCAAAAATCACACATTTCTGAACCCCGCTTCCCCAAACAGACGCCGCACCCACCAAAGGCAGCCCAACCCTCACAGAACCGCCGCCGCCCTTTTATAGTTGGCGCCAAACGCCTCTGCCGGAACTATGAGGACTCATCGCTCCCTCTGCGTGAGGTAGACTGAGATCCCTCCGCTCGAGAAAATAATCCCCCCTGGGCCCCTTGGATTCTCGGCACCTTTCTCCCGCCCTGTGGTCGGAAAGAAAGAGGAGAAAGAAGGAGGAGGAATCCCTCAGACCGCCCCGTGCCCGCTGCAGACCCCATCTCCTTCCCTCCGCTCCCGGCGGACTCTTTGGTCGCTGCGCGCCGTATCCTTCCGCGGCGGCCATTTTGCGTGCGCGCGGCGGGAAGGGGCGGGAACCACCGTGAGGGGGGAAGGAGGGCGTGGGGGGCGGCTGAGAGCCGGGGGGGGAGGAGAGGGGAGAGGGGAGAGGGAAGAGGGAAGAGGGAAGAGGGAATGAGCGGAGCGTGAGTGGGGCTGGGGGGTGTGAGGGGACGCTGAGGGATGGGCGTCGGGAGGACGATGAGGTGCCGGTTGGCTTTAGGGATCTCTCATGGGGGCCCTCAGAGCGTTTTGGGGTGGGGGCAGGGAGGGCCCGTTCGCCCTGAGGGGTGATGGGGGTCCGTAGGGTTCGGTGCAGCCCCGTAGGTGAGCGCTGAGGGAGGTGACTGTGTGACGAAGCGCCGTGGCTGGGGCTCTGCAGTGGTTCCTATGAGCTGCAGCGTTCGGAGGATCCCCCAACTGCGGCGCTGGGACTCCTGGAGGTCCTCCGCTCCAAAGCCCCCCAAAGCAGTTCCCTGCAGCGGGATTGCGTCCAGGCGGGGTTGGATTTCTCCAGAGATCTCTTCAATTCCTCTGCGCCGTTCTCCTCACAGCACAAAAGTTTGCATGTTCAGACGGAATTCCCCGGGCTCCAGGCTGCACCCACCGCCCCTTACCCTGTGCTGAGCAGAGCCCAGCACTCCTCCTGAGCTCCGCCCTTCAGATCAGCGCTGATCAGACCCTTCTTAGCCAGCTCTTCCCCAGGTGAACCGTCCCGGGGCTCCCATCAGGAGGTGCTGAGGCCCCACCGTCTCTGCAGGGCTCTCCCAGCACTTCGGGTTTGCGCTGAACTGGGGAGCCCCGTGCTGGGCTCAGCGCCGCAGCCGTTGCCTCCCCGTGGCAGAGCGGAGGGGAGCAGCGCCGCTCTGCCCTGCCGGCCCCATTCTGAGCTGCAGCCCGGGGAACCATGATCCCTCTTGGCCAGCAGGGCCCGCTGCTGGTTCGTGGTCCGTCTGCTGGCCGCCAGCACCCACAGAGCTCCCTTCAGCAGCTCAGCCCCCAGCCTGCACTGATGCATTCGTGATAGTGAGCCAAACATCTCTTGGTTCCCAACCTCAAGCGTTGCATGTTCCAGCTGAACACTTAAATTCACAGCTCTTCCCAACGCAGACATACAAGATGTGATTTTAGAGCTGCCAAAGGCTGCCCAGTGAGAGGTGGGGTTGAGGTTTGTGCTTGGCTTTGCTGCAGGGCCTCCTGGTGGCTCTGTGTGCAGTGTTGCAGTGCTTCACTTTTGAATTCTTCATTTAAAAGCAGGCCCTCTTAGAGCTTCCAGCAGTTTCATAGAGAAGCAGTTGAAGGCAATAAAAAGATGTTGCATTGTGGCCTCGGTGCAGTTGGAATCGCTGTTGCCCTGCACGGCCCACGGCCTGCCTGCACAGCTGTGTGTTTGTAGACAATTGGAGTGTTGTCAGAGTGAATGGATGGGCCTTAAAGCTGGGCTTTCACAGACCGGCATGCCAGCGTAACCCTGATGTGGGGGAAAATGCAGTGGTTCTCTGTGCTGCCATAATGGTTGGGTGCTGGCGTGGTTTGGGATCAGTAGATACGCTGTTGTCTGCGGGGCTGCCTGCAGGACTGGTGGCATTTGGGTTCTGCTTCTTTCCTGACCTTCGTGGGAGTTACGAGGTTTGCCTTCTCTCTGTGAGGGATCATTGCTGGGGTTGGGGGAGCCGCTCGGAGCTTAAATGCTGTCCTGACTCCTTGTTTGCCATTTATTCTCTGTGATGCTCAGCCTCTTTCAGAGCTGCTCTTTCAGTGTTACCTCTTTACCCACAGTGTCAGAGTTCTGTGTCTTTGGCACAACACCCGGCAAGGAACGGCCGAGGCTGAGGGCATGGCTGAGCCCTGAGGGTTTCTTGCTGCTCCTCAGTGCTCTGTGCTGCGGGAAGCACCCTGATGGGCCGTGTTCCTCTTTCAGAACGATTTGTGGATGCCAAGGACATGCTGAAAATGACTGCTCTACACTGGGCAGCAGAACACAACCACCGGGCCGTGGTGGAGCTGCTCGTCAGATACAGAGCCCATGTCCACGCCTTGGGCAGGTTTGATAAATCACCCCCTGACATCGCTTTGGACAAGAACGATCCGGAGACCCCGGTGACCCTGCAGGTAGGCAGACAGGGGAGGAACCTGCTGGTGATTGACACAAAGCTGCAGGGAGAACTGAGCTGATGGTTCTGAGGCAATCCTGCCCTGATGCTCGGATTGGAGCGCTGAGGCGGCTCCGTGTACTCGGTGTGACGCGGCAGATCCGCAGCCCTTCTGCATTGCTGTCACAGGGCTGTGTGGGAACGTCCCTGCGTTGGCAGGGGTGCAGGGTGCTCGCAGCAGAGGGCAGACGGATGTTGGGTGCAGGAAGGGCAGCCACCACGCACAGCAGGTGTTGGCTTCTGGCCACGGAGCCCAAGAGTTTTCTCTCTTTTTGCTGGGTGATTCCCAGCCAGCGCAGGAGGCTGGATCTGCTGTGTGTGGCGGAGCTCAGCTGTGGTGCTGCTCCAGAGCCTCAGAAGATGGATTAGGATGATTGCAAGAGAGGAATGGCTGTTGTAGCCTGTGCAAAACCCTCAGCACTGCAGCGCTGCTGGGGTGTGTTGGCTTTGTTCTCTGTTGGCTGCAGAGGAGCTGGGTGCACGATCTGCGAGTGCTGAGCAAGGAGAAGAGGGAAAGTCCTTGCAGAATGAACAGCCCTGCGGACGTGCGTTACGCACACGTGTGCTCGTCGCTCCTGTGTTGGTGGCAGTAATTCGGTTCCTCATTGCTCTGTAAGCCACGCTTTGGTGGGAAAGCACTCAGTTAAGGCTGAGCCAAACGGGGGCTGGGGTAATTCCAGAGTTTGTCACTAACTGCGTTTGGGGAAATCCAAACCGCTGCTCCTTTCCCACCACACGGGCGGGCCGCTGAGCGCAGGCTGGGCGCAGCCTCCTCCCGTGAGCGCTCCTCAGATCCCGGCCGACCTCCTTCGGCCCCGCGGTGACCGGCGGCGCTGCTCCGTGCTGCGCTCCTCGTTTCCCACCAGAGGGCATCAGCGGCCGCCGGCGTCCCTTGAACCCTTTTACCGCTACGAATAGTCCCGCAGCCTGGAGGGGTTTTACGGAGGAATTAGCGCTCGGCGGGTGCGAGGAATCCGATTATGGGCTGCTGCGAGCTGTGTGCGCAGCCCAGGCCTTGGGAGCGTTCTGTGCAAATCGGTCCCTCAAAACCTTCCTAAAATCGAGGGCGAGGGCAGCAGGTGGGCTGCAGGGGGGAAAGCACTCCCCTGTGGTGCGGGGTGAGGTGCAGGATCTTTTTAGTGCTGATTTTTCAGTCTGTGGGGCGGTTCTAGTTTGTGTGCGTGCCAATAAAGGGCTGTTTGCACCCTTTAACCTCAGATTTCCTGCTCCGTTCTTACAAAGCCTGCCTTTGAATAGGAATCGCTGCGGTCAATTGGAGGAAGGAGCATTGTTTGGGGAGCTGAGCGCTGCTTATCACACTCAGATCGCTGCAGCAGTGACTGTACTTTCCCTTACTGAACCGAGGGGGGAGAAAGAAAGGGCCTTGCCTGCCCTTTGAGCCGGGTCGCGTTCAGGAGCGTGGCAGTCAGAGTTCACACCACGCTTCCCCTTTGGGTCTTTCTTTCTCCGCAGCTCAGTGCTTCAAACCGGAGGTAACTGGAGCTCTGCAAGTGCCACGGAGGTTCTCAGCCCTTGCGCTCGGATGTCCCCCCTCTGCTCCCAGTGCACGGCAGCTCCCCGCTGTCCCCATTCCCTGCAGGCCGTGCCGTCCCGCCTGCTGTCTGCTCATAACCCGGGGCAGCGGCTGCCATCATCACCTCAGAGCCGGGGAAGGGTCATGAAGGAAGATCTGCTTACCAGCTGCTTCCAGCTGCAGTCCTCCTAATTAATGAGCTGGAATGCTAATGCTTTGGTCTCGCTAATCTGCAGAAAAGAGCTTTTTCTCGGCAGTGTTTTACGCGCGCCCGCTGCGCTGTGCTGTTTCCCCCACTCTCGCTAAGGCTCGCTGTTTCCAGGTTGTACCCGAGCTCGGCCACCCGGCCTGGCTTTCAATTCAAGGAAGAGAGGCGGAAACGCTGACGCTTCTGTTGTTTTCCTGTTGGCACTGACCTCATTTCCCAAGGCGACGCAGAGGAGCTGCGGGCAGCAGAGGGCAGCGCGTCGTCACCATCGGCACCGACGGCGTCGCCCCGGCAGCCCGCAGCCAGCCGGCCTCGCCGGCCCTGTGTCGGCACCGCGCGGGACGGGCGGGAGGGCAGGAGCAGATGGCCGGCAGCGGGCCCTGCGGCCCTGAAGGCCGACGGTTCCCCGGGCCGCTGTGCCCGGAGCCAGCCGGCAGGGCAGGGCGGCGCTGCTCCTCTCCGCTCGCCACCGCGAGGGCGCTGCTGGGCGCACGGCACGGAGGTGCCGGGTGTCTGGGAGCCGCGTGGAGCCCCGTCTGAACGTGACCGGAGCTGAGCAGAACGGGATCGCGGAGCCGCGGCGACCTCCTTAAGCAGAGATCCGAGCCCCCCGCCCTTCACTGCGCGGCCGCTGTGGGGGTTGGGCTGGGGGCGCAAGGTGTGAAGGTGGGGCACGGAGCCGGGCTGAGCTCCAGAGCTGCTCCGTGTTTGCGTTTCCTCAGGGCGCTTCGGCCTGCTCTCCTGAGAGCCTTCAGTACGCCGCAGGGCTGCGTGCCGATGTGGATTAATATCGGAGCAGGAAAAGGGATTAGGAAATGAGCTCTCCTCCAGTGTTGAGGGTTACATCGCTGCTGTCTGCTTGCAGGCCTCGGGAATAGAAAGCAGTCCTCTAAAGCTGTTAATTGATCAGAATTGCTTGCCAAATTACTACAAACGATCCCTGGTTGTAACCCATTCATTGAGCTGTGGGGCACTGCTGCCCTCGGTGCTCACACCGTCTGTCTCTCCTGGGCTGGGTGGTTCTTGCTGCTGGCCTGAAGACAGCCCGTGTTATCAGGTTCAGAACACACTTCTCAGAAGGTTTGTGGCTGTTGCAGTGCCCAGAGCTGGTCCTGGGGCTGCCTGCACAGGGGATGTTTGAGAACAGCTCTGTTCCTCGGCTGGAAGGCCCCAGCTGCTTATTGCATTTCTGTCACCTCTTGGTTTCCCAGCCTGTAGCTGCTGGTCGGGCTGCAGAGGAGACCACAGCTGGGGACGGGGGCGATGCAGAAGGAGGAGAAAAGCCACCAGCCAAGAGGCTGAAAGCAGAGCAAAACAGGAACGACGTGGAGGAAAGTGAGGTGAGCCTCACGGCCGCAAACCACTGCCTGCCTGGTGCTGCTCGGCAGCTCTGGGGATGCAGGGCGCCTGGTGCCGGCGGCCTCATGGGGCACAACGAGGAAATGGCTGCACTGAGCCTCTGCTCTCATCCCCATCGCGGCCCTGTGCGTTGTCCTGCTGTGCCGCGGCGCCGGGTGCTGCTCAGAGCCAGCTGTGCTGCTGCACCCTTCCTGCACGGTGCAGCCTCTGCAGCTCAGCTCTGTTTTCTGTAGGGCAGCACCGAAGGGGAAGCGGCCCAGCAGCGGCCCAGCACGGCACTGGGGGAGCAGAACAGCATCAGCAAGCCGTGCGCAGCTGTGTGAGCTCAGAGGACGGCGAGGGAACCGCGCTGGGAACGGAGCAGGTGGCCGACAGCGCCGCGGGGTCCGACACCTCCTAACGGTGGCTGTGGGAGCGGGGCTGGAGCGGAAACACAGCGCTGCCGGGGCGGCTGCAGCCAGCGCGGGCTGAGGCAGCGAGGAGAGCTGGAGGTGGGGGCTGGGCGGGACCCCCTGTGTGCCGCAGCGCCGAGTACGAGCTGCGAGAGCCGGGCCGGCTCCGGACGCACCGGCCGCTTTTTCACTGAGCTCTTCTCTGAAGATGCCAAAACCTTTTCTAACAACAGCTGTTTTCATTGCCCGAATGTTTGGGTTGTTTGTTTTCGCTCTTTGCAGTCCGTGGGTTGGTTCTGTCCTTTGGTCCCAGTTCTGTGACCAAAGGTGGGGGCAGAGGAGGTCCTCCGCTCTGACACGCAGTTCAGGGGCGACTGCTGTCCCCGTGTGGGTGACGCACGGTTCTGGGGCTTCGTTAGGGCTGAATTAGCGAACCCACACCGGCAGTGGGGTGAGGGGCGACCTCCCCGCCCCCCAGGCACCTCCCGCAAATCGCATTACTGCTTTAATCTGCCCTTACAGGACCAGGGTCGCCCTGTGCCAGGCACGGCGCCTGGCGCCCCCGCTCAGGGGGTGGGGGTCGTGCCGCCCCCCCGCCCTCTGTGCATCTGTGCGGCCCCCCGGGGGGGGCAGCTCCCGCTCTGCGTATTTGGAAGCGTGGAGATGTCAACCTTGAGACGATTTTGGACTGCTTTGTACCCCCACCGGGAGCAGCTCTCTCTTCTGCCCCGACCTCTGTGCCCTCCGTCCCCCTCGAGCACCCCCAGCCCCCGCCCCCATCCCCACGGCCCAGCGGAGCCACGCGGGCAGCAGAACGCACCGCTCGTCTCTTTAATTGCCCGACGCGGTTTTAATTGCCCTACACGGTAGGACAAGCCCAGCCCTGGGGCGCAGCCCCGCCCCCCGGGGGGTCCCACAGCGCTGAATAAATTAGGGGGAAAACATGAAAAACGGGGATGTGGGGGCACGAGGGACCCCAGCAGCGGGGGGCCGTAGGGACACTCGTCACCTGGGGGCGGTGGGAGAGCGGATACGGAGCCCCCCGTGTCCCTGCGGCGCGGGGGACCCGCAGGGGCTCAGAGCGCCGGGGGGGGTTTGGGCGGCAGGGGGGGCTTCACGGAGAGCGAGCGCTGCAGGGGAACGGCGTGGGGAGCCCACGGTGGGCCCCCCCCCGGAGCCCCCAGGGAGTGCATGCGGATGAGGCCGCGCGCCGCGCCGGCTGCTCTCGCTGCCCCCTCCAGGGAGTGTCTCTGTGCCAGCGGCCGGCGGGGCGGCGGGGGGCTGTCGGGGGGCACGTCGAGGCGCCGTGGGGCTCCGTCCCACGGGGCCAACGAAGCGGAACCCGGCTGCACCCGGTTGGCCACGGGGCCGGGGGGGGGCAGCGACCGCCCTGCGGCTCCTGAGCCCTCTGGGATGGCTCTGAGCGGGGGTCCCGGGCCGGGGGGCTGCGGGGCGCTGAGCCCGTGGGGCGTCCTGGTGGGGGGCTCCGGGCTGGGCGGCTCGGGGTGGGGGTCCGGGGCCCCGTCGTGAGGGGGCAGCGGGGGGTAGAGGCGCGGGGCGGGCGAGGGGTGCGGGCTGGGGGGCTCGGGGGCGCCTTTGGGTGCTGCCGGTCGGCGGGTGCAGGCGGCTCCCAGTCCCGCCACCAGCGCTCCCAGCACGAAGGCGCCCAGCACGCAGCCCACCAGCACCGGCACCGGCACCGCCGCCTCCCGCACCGCTCCGCGGACCCCTGCAGGCAGCACCAAAGGTGGCACCGTGTCCCTCCTGCCACTCCTCCTCCGTCCCGTCCCCCTCCGTGGTCCTTCAGGTCCTTCTCCCTCTCCCGGGTTCCCGTGTACCTGCGTCACTCCTGTCCCCAAGGCCCCTCCATTGTCCCCACATCCCCCCTGTCCCATCCCCAGCCCGTGGTCCTCGGGGTCCTCCCCCCATCCTTTGGGTCCCATTCCCTCCCTGTGCCCCTTCCCCGCCCCACAGCCCCCTCCTGGTCCGTGTGTCCCCTTCCAGACTCAGGGTCCCCCCCCAGGACTGTCCCAGCTGGGGGAAGCGTGGGTGTCACTCACCGTGGGCCACGTCCCCGTTGTCCCCATCCCTGTCCCCTGCAGATGCTGCACCTGGGAGAGCAGAGCGGGGTCGAGTCTGGGACCACCCATGTCCCCCTCCCAGTGTATCCCAAAGGTCCCCCTGGTGTCACTCGCGGTGCCCAAGGGCCCCAGATGTCTCCCAACGCCCCCAATATTCCCCACATCTCCCAGTGTCCCCAAATATTCCTCTGTGCCCCCACCCCCCCACTGTCCCTAGCTGCCCCCCTTGATGCCATCTGCATTCCCCCCAGACCCCACATCCCCAGATGTCCCTGCTGTCCCCTCACCTGGGCAGGTCCCCGTCAGCCCGATGGACCCCTCCACGTCCTGCTCAAAGCCGTCCCTGGGAACACAGTGGGGACACAGTGGGGACACATTGGTCCCCCACCCCCCAGGGATGGGACGCCCAAGAATTGGGGTCACCTCTTCCCCCCTGCAGCCCCACACTGCACTGGGGAGGAGGGGACACACTCACGGGAGGTCCTTAGAGAAGGGGACGCAGCCCCCGGGGGGCAGCCAGACGCAGTAGGGGTCCCGCGCCGCCAGGCAGCTCCTGTGTGGGGTCAGCACTCAGCGTGGGGCCGCCGGGGGTCCCCCGTGCCCCCTGTGTCCCCATACCGGCGGCACTGCCCGTGCCGGGCGCAGCGGCTCAGGGGCAGTCGCACGATGCACCCTGAGAAGGCGACGATCAGCTCTCGGCCTTCGGGGTGCAGCTCCAACCCCAGCACCCGGCTGGCGCCACGCGGCCCCCGGCACCTGCAGACCCCACAAGCCCTGCAGTGCCCAGAGGCGCCCCACGGCCCCGCAGGGCCCCACAGCACCCACGTGGCCCCATTACCCCCAGCAGTCCCACGTGGCACCTACACGGCCCCGGAGCGCCCACCCAACGCCACCACACCCACCTGACCCCATGGCACCCACAAAGCCCCCATCAGCACCCCCCATGACCCCATGGCACCCACAAAGCCCCCATCAGCGCCCCCC